GTGTGTGTGTGTGTGTGTGTGTGTGTGTGTGTGTATTTATATATATATGTATGGGGGGGAGAGAGGAGAGTGCAATCAACAATGACATTTATTGATGAAACTAAATGACAATATAGGTTGAATGGAAGCAACTGAAAATGTGTACATTGCGTGTGGGTGTTCTGAAGAAATGTCCCCATGGTATTTTATGACAAATTAGTTGTTTGAACCAAATGACTTTGTGAGCGCAAGCTTCCTTGGAAGGTATGAAAAAACAAATGCAGTGTTTTGAACGTTGTGCAGCTTGTGATACAAGTGGTGACTGTTTTGTGTATTGTGTCTGGAGTTGTGAACAATGACATCAAGGTTCTCAAACTAAAACTGTAACTGTGATCTAATTTACCTTATTTTCTGCACTATAAGGCGCTGCGGATTATAAGGGGCAACTTCAATGAATGGCCTATTTTAAAGCTGTTTTTATACACAGGGCGCACTGCATTATAAGGTGCATAGAATAGAAGCTACAACAGTGGCTGCAGTTGCGCTATGCATCCACTAGATGGTGCTACGTTAAAGGGAATACAATACAATACAGCTTTATTTATATCAGGGGTGACCATTACGTCGATCGCAATCAACCGGTAGATCGCAGACTGGTCCCAAGTCAATCGCGAGGGGTGTCGAGGAGAAAAAAAACAAACAACCTTTGTGCATGTTTTTAATATATTTTTTGGTGTGCATGTACACTGCACCCTAATCATCCTATCAGTCTCATCACAAAAAGTATTTAAAAAATAAAATAGAATAAAGAGGGTAAATCTTTAACCTACGGTGGCGCATGACCTGCATCACTAGAAGTTGTTCGCCTTCTCAACCGCTGCAGCTGTAACAAAGCTATGAGAACTGGTCACAAACATGGACATGAAACATATCAGTACAAATGGCATTACAATACAATAAATGAAAGACAAAAGTTAAGAAGACAATTCATTCAACAAAAAGCCACACAAACCTCGTGGGCACACATCCACAAGGTAAGTAAGTAAGCCCACAAGGGGCTAAATAATTTACCCTTTGAAGTCTTACTTGTCTCCTTCCTTCGTTTTGTCAGTCATCAACTATGCTTTTGGTATTATCTTCGTATCATAATGGCTGCAAAGAGCTCTCGAAGTAGTTGTTTGTTTGAGAGTATGTTGGTGACTGCACAAGTCAATTAGTGTCGAGCAGAACCCTTTTAGGTTACAATTGGTTCTTGCTAATAACCACCACTAGATGGCAGAGGAACACTAACAGGGAAACAACTCAATGGGAAATATAAAGAGACTGTAACACCATATTTAAGGATTATAGGGCGCACTGTCCACTTTTGAGGAAATTGAATGCTTGTAAGTGCGCTTTATAGTGCGGAAAATATGATACATGCATAACACAGACTTACACGTCTATGGTTGTCATATTTCTTTAAATTCTAATGAAATAACAGTTGTTCTTGACTCACATCCACTAGTTGAATGTCGGCAGTGCCATTTTGGGGGATAGTGGCAAATCTAGTAATGATAAAAATACATCATAAAAGTTGGTTTCATAAGGTGCAAGATGTTTACAAGTACATGGAAAAGACTAGATGCAGTAAATGTAAAGTTTTCACTTGAGTGTGAACAGACAGATAGATAGAGACGAGATGCCAGTAGCATTTTCTCTATTCAACCATTTTTAGATTTTTCCTTTGACGCTTTCTTAGTTTTTAGTCTTGGCAGGTTGTGGTACAGGTCGGTTTTTGTTGATCCACAGGATATTCATCCCATTTTTCTGTATATGGCTCACGGTTCTTTCCATAAAATATTACAATAAAGTGGAACCTTAATTCAACTGACCCAAAACCAAGGGACTCCTTATTTCACAGGCAGGAAATAGTGCCCAGTCTGGCAATCTCACGTGTTTGCGGGTTGTGGCCGTGGGCTTATATATTGAGTACTAGTTTACCTTAGATGTGCACTTTATAATTTTATATTGCTCTGTTTTGATTCCATAAAAAGAGCTGTGAAAGCAGCTGTTGTGTGACGAAATATTTTTTTCACTGTTGTTGATGGACAGTAATATTGTGTGAAAGATTATGTATGAATAACTGCTCCATGTGAAAAATGTTCATGTAAAATAGAAAATCGAAATTGTTATTTCAGTAAATATTTGTATTTTGCACATTGAAAACTGATTCATGATTCCATGTTGATGAGAGCATTAAAACGGGAAAAATAGGACAAAAAATATAAAAGGAAATTCATAAATGACAAAAAATGACAAAAAATGTGTGAGTAATCACGATTATTATGAGTTAATTTTGAGTTCATTATGACAGTTGCGTTTTTAAGTAGATTAAATATTTTAATCGTTTGACAGCTCGAATATATATCTATCTATCTATCTATCTATCTATCTATCTATCTATATATATAGATATAGATAGATAGATAGATAGATTCACATGTGTATATATATATATAT